ATTAAAAATTCAAATACAAGATAGCAATACCTTTACTTTATTTCTTTAGTTTTATATTTTTATAGGGAAACAGTTGGTACCTAAAGACATTTATATGCTCAATGCCAATTATAAGTTCAGAAATAATATTCATTATTGGCAAAATGAGTACTGAAACTATCTTTTTTTCTTCCTTGTAATAATATACCTCACTAGGAATGTTTGGTTGATATATTGTTTTAAAGCGAAAGCGTTTCTTTACTGTTACAAACATTTTAATTTCAAAGTGTGTTTTAATACAGGATCTTCCTTTGAGGAGAGAGATGCCGATCCTGGCTGAAGAGAACAAAAGAATAGAATTAGCGCTGTGTTTTTTTCCCCAGCAATTAATATGAAAAAACCGTAACAGTTATTTTACTTCACAAACTTCTGACTCTTCTGAATTCACTATTTTCCCTCCGAAGCTCTGCCTAAAAAACCGCGTCGTTTCCCTGGTGGAAGATTTGCACTCTCCGCAGGCAGAAACTGCTCGCCTTCGTCCTGCGGGCGGTCGCCGGCAACTGCGCTCAGCGCCCTTCTTGTGGCCATGCAGAGCGCTGGGATCCCCAGCCCGGAGGCGGTATTCGCCGTCCTCAAGTCGCCGAGCCCCGTGTAGGAGACGAAGGCGCCAACAGTTTATTAGTAAACAATGGCAGCAGCTGCGGCTCTCAGGAGCCGAACTCTGGGGCGTTTCGGAACCTCCAGAGGGCTCCAGGAGAGCTGACTTTGAGAAGGGACAGGTAGGCAGGCTGCCCCGGTGACTCCGCCCTCCCGCAGCAGGTGAGACGTTTGCGCCTCAGTGCCGGGAAGCCAGTTTCGAATTCTTTTATTATTTTATGCCCTTGACTCATAAGAGGATGGGCCAAAGGGTGAGGAAGGATAATATCCAATGGGCGCCTCCTACTAAAAGCAATCAGCCGCTTGGATCGGGAGAGGCGTAAGCGGTCGGACTGGACTGGGGGCAGAGCCGGCTCGCCGGGTCCCGGGGGCGGCGGTGCCCAGCGAGGCCAAAACGCGGAGCAGCTGGCCCTCCCCGAGGCTGGGAGGCCAGAGGGAGGCCGCGCTGCGCTGGCCCCGCCCACTGCGGACAGGTTACCCAGGTGCGCTGCGTCACGCCTTCTGCGCCGCGCTGATTGGTTTATCTAGGAAACCCCGCCCCCTCAGCTGTAGCCCGGCCGGCTTCAGCTGCGCCGCCATCTTTGTTGATGTGTCAGCTCCGCGGGGGTTTTGGCGAGCGGCGGCGGTGGAGAGAGCGAGGGAGTTGTCTGTCTCCCCACCGCTGTCTTTCCCGCCCACTCGTGGCGTGGCGGTCCCGGCCATGGAAAAGTTGACCCTTGAGCCGGAGCGCCAGAGGTCCCATTAGGGCGCGGCCTGGGGCTTGGAGGAGTGCGGTGAGTGCCTGAGGGGCCCCCGCGGGGGGCTGGCGAGGCGCGGCGGCCGGGCTGTGGACCCCTCGCGCGGCCCCGCGGCCCCGGGGCGGGGACGAGCCGCCCCGCGTCTCCCCTCCTGGTTCTCCCGCGGAGGCGGGTTGAGACCGGCGCTGGGGAGCGCGCTCCGGAGCCCCTTCCTCTGCGTGCCGCCCGCCCCCGGGGCGCGGAGCCGGGTCCGCGGGGCCTCGGGGATGTGCCCGGCGGCTGAGCTTCGCGGCCGAATTTGGGCCGATCGCCTGGGCTCCACCTGCTCGGGGAGCTGTGATAGACCCGGGCACCTATTTCACTTTTCCTTTCGAAGTTGACTGTGTGTTTGATGCCGTGGCGACTTCTTATGTCCTTCCAAACACTTCCATTACTGTGCTTTTAAGTTCCTTGGACGTGATTCTTTAGGGTTGCGGAGACGGGAGGTAACTCTTCTGTTTTTGTTACCATTTTTTTTAACCAGGACATCGAGCCATTCCATCAACCTTAGTTGTGCGGAAGGAATTTCAAATTTATATCTCCATCAGACTTGTGAGTGAGCGGTTCCCAAGTAGGAGTCCTGGGGAACGGTGCGGGTGTAATTATGGCTCAGCTCTTAACAGTTTCAGCAATTTCAGCAAGTATTCCCATCTTGATTTTGTTAGGAGGCCTGGACCTGCCGTTAAGAGTATCTCGGCATCTTCTTTGACTTGATAGACTCGTTACCTGTGGGAAGCAGAAGAGTCTAGTAAAAAACACGTTACGAGGGGCAGAGTCCTTCACAGTTTGCTGTCGTGTAAGTCGTGCTCCTTTCACACCCAGCATTTTTATGTCTTCCAAGATGATAGGCTGGGTGATTTTCTAAGAAAAATGTGTAGTCAGTCAGTGGAACAATGTCTCAAGAGAGACGCTGGTAGTCATTAAAAAAAAATTTAATCTGCTGTAAATGTTTAGGTATGTTAGCTGCGGGTGTGTCCTTCCCGTTTATTAACTCCCAAGTATTATTGTTCACAGTGTTGAGCTTGTGGAAAACATAAAGGTTGAAGAGACATCGATAATAAAACTGAAGTATCTGTGCAGAAAGTGCACTCTTCCCTGTGCAGCTCCGTACTTTGTAGTTCTTCATCCATCGTTACCTAGACTAAAAAGCCATGATGATTGGCCTTCCCTCCCCCCGCTTTCTTTTTGTATTATCTGAAATTCAGCGAAATATGGGGTAGTTCACAAATCTTGTATTATTAAAATCCCCCCTCTTTAGACGTAATACCTGTTACTGTAATCACCTGAGTACATTTTGCACTCCCTTCCCCTCACTCTCTCTATTGGAGATTGAACCCAGGACTTTTCTTCAAGCAAGTGCTCTCGCTCTTAACTAAAAATTCCATTTTATGGTATCATAGGTATAATTAGTGAAGAATCTCCCAGAAGATGCAAGGGTTATGTACTTTTCTTAAGACCTCACCTAATTGAGATAACTGCGTGTAGACTTACTGTTCTTTAAACAGAGATCGATAGAATGTCATTGGCATTTCAGAATCTTTATTTTTAGCTGATTGGAAAGTGGCCAGCGAGTGGCACGGTAACCACTTTTAACCTTTTAGTTCCTTTATCCATAAGAGCAGTCCTTTGATGCTGTACAATGACAGCATGGCTGATTATAATTTAGTATATTCATTTGAAAACTGTGTTTAAACTACATGCTGACATTGTAAAAGAATGTACAATGACATTGTAAAACAGTACATTCAGCTCTCTAGGGAAGACCGGGTAGATTGAAGGATGAAAGCAGCCATAGTTAGAAATTTAGAAAACCGTCTTTCCTTTTGTAAGATGATAAGTGATATGTCCTAGCTTCCCAAAGTCATCTGACAGTTTAAAGAATCCTTAACTTGAAGTTCTAGGTTTTTCTTTGTTTTTTGTTTTTCTTTCGGTACCAGAAGTCGAACTCACCACCTCACACTTGCCAGGCAGGCGCTGTGCCGCTGACCTAAATCCCCAGCCCCTAGGTTTCTTCTTTGAATAAAACTTTTTTGAGACTGGTTTTTTGAGACAGGGTCTAGCTATGTATTCTAGGCTGGCCTTGAACAACTTCACAGTGATCCTCCTGCCTCAGCCCTCTGAGCACTGGGATTATAGGCATGCCCTGTGACTCCTGGCTCTTTTATCTCTTTTTAAGAAAAGCCAATTTTTCAATGTTTTCTAGGCATCAGTAGGCTTACAGTATTGTGAATGTTATATTTAGTATTCATTTTAGGGGCAGCAGTGAGATCATAGATAATTTAAAAATTTATAACGCATTTTCTGATCTTATTTTTTATACTACTATGAATTTTCTCAGCTGCTGAGATTAAAAATTTTATTTGAGCTAAAAAGTAGACAAAGAAATGGAGTAAAGGGGTAATAAAATACCAGCAGGCATTTTGTCTGTTGTTAAGACCATTCATCCCCATAAAGCATCTTGTACAGCATTGCATGGTAAGTGCTAATGAATAATTTAACTTTTTTGAAACTGTCACATCAGATTAGCCAAACCCAGGTTAAAAGTAGCTTCAAATTGTAAATACTAATCAAAACTCTTTAGTAAAAAGCAAACTTACAACTTTTATTTAGTTAATATATTTTCATTTTATCCTTTTAGTTTCTAGATTTGGAAGAAAATGACTGAAAATAGTTTTAATATTTTCTTAAGCTCATTAAATTGCAAGTGAGATATTTACAAATAGCTTCAGCTTAAAATCCTATATTAATAACTTTCACTTTTAATATTTTCTTGAGTTCCATAAAGTGCAAGTGAAATCTTTACAAATAGCTTCAACTTAAAATCCCATATTAATAACTTTCTGTCATGATATTTTAAAAGGTTATTAGAGGTATATAAAATTGCATGGATCTAATATACCAAATTGATAATATCATATACGTGATATAACTTAATAATCTGATATGTGACCCTCTTTTTCCTGGACTGCTGGTGGCCCTTAATTTCTTTTTCCTGTTATTTTGTCACAGGAATTAGTGGCTGTTCAGGGTTCCTGCAGCATCTATCATGCTGAGCCTTTTTAAAAAACATCTCTCTGTGTGTATGCAATATGATGTACATATCATAAAATTTGCCCTGGCCTGAGTCTTGGGTCCAAGGCTAAAAAACCCCTACAGGGACTTTGGCCTCCCGCAACACTTTTAAAAGTGTTTCATAATACTTTTCAACTACTTTTAATGCCCTGTTGCATACAAAGGAAATGCAGTAAATCAAAGTTAAATTTTACCCCAAAGCTCAGTATGTGACTACTGTACTTTAAAAATTGCTTCTTCCTTTTTGCAGAACTAGAGTTCTTTGAAATACCTCAGCTTTTAATCTTCTAAAGGTTGAATTTGATTGGTATAAATTCACCGTACATGAAATTTTGCTGTCAGGTATGTTCATCATGGGAAACAACAATTTGTGTTCCATAGTTTTTTTTTAAATTATATTTTATTTTAAAAATCTTTATCCAAAAATGTTTTTAAAAGTAGGAAAATAAGTTACTTGGAGGTTCCTGAGCAGGTGATAGTAGACTGGATTATTATTTTTTTTTTTTCTTTTTTTTTTTTTTTGGTTTTTGTCTGGTACCGGGAACCGAACTCACGACCTTGCGCTTGCCAGGCAGGCGCTTTGCCGCTGAGCTAAATCCCCAGCCCCTAGACTGGATTATTTTTATAAATTTGGTTTTTGCCTCTGGCTTTTCCTGCCTACATCCCTAGCCCTTTTCATTTATATTTTTAAATTTTGAGACAGAGTCTTACTAAGTTACCCAAGCTAGGCTTGAACTTGTGATACTCCTACCTTCGCTTCTCTAAATGTTGAGGCTTCAGGTGTGAGCTGCTGAACCCAACTTGCTTCTGACTTTAATTGCCATATCAGAATCTTATTAGAAGCTGGGCCTGGTGGTGCATGCCTGTAATCCCAGCACTCTGAAGGCTGAGGCAGGAGGATTGCCATGAGTTTGAGGCCAGACTAGGCTACACAGTAAGTTCAAGACCAGTCTGAACTACATAACAAGACCGTGTCCTAAAAAATACCAAAAACTGAAACAAAACCCCAAAAGAATCTTATTAAAGCTATTCTTTTGTGTATGCTACTTTCAAAATGTATCTGGGAAATATGTAAAAATCCCTTTGATGTGCTTATACTTTTCCTACATAAGACAGTAAACCATTATTTTGTAGAACAGAAGTGGTCTCACAGGCTCAATTTGCTTATCTTAATGCGTATTATTTGAGAAGTATATAGCTGTATTATTTGGGGGGCCTGAATGATACAATTTATAATTTAAAATTTAGAGTTGTATAAAATATTATGTTTAACTTAGTTTTTTTTTTGGACTTAAAAACACTCGACCTTTTTTTGTGTAGTCTCTGGTGGAACACTATCAGATCTTAAACTACTGTAATGTTAAAATATTCACTCTATGACCTACAATGTTTTAGTGTTTATTGGCAGCAAAACATGATGAATAAGATGTAATGTAGTACTTACGTGTTAGTCCACTGCACCGCAGATCTGTACTACGAGGGATGTCAGTTTCATCCACTGCGTTGCTCCCACCACCTAGAACAAAGCCTGTGCAAAACAGATGCTCAGTACATATTCAGTGAATGAGTTAATATTTGGGAATTATTTCTAACTTGATACCTTTGTATGAGCCTTGTTTGTTTGTCTGTTACCAAATATCTGTAGATTGGATTAATATGATTGGTGGGTTTTTTTAAAGTAAGCTTGCATTTCCTGGTTGTATAGTGCTAATTAGAGGAAAAATGAATGGAACTAAAAACTGTTAAAAGCAGTGCTTCCACTTACATAGATTTCCATGGAAATAATTTTATAGAAATGCAACTTCCTTCCTTAAGAAACAATCCAAAAGGGATAATGCTTGGCTTTAAGGCAAATAAAAAATGTTCCTTGACCAGTTGCCTACAGCTGATGAGCTCCAGTAAGAGCGAAACCAGTTCTCACATACTGAAAGTTTTGAAGTGTGAATTGGTCCTGTAGTACTGTGTCAGAAACAACTCTGGGGAAAATAAATGTTTGAATTAAGAGCAATTTTGTGACTAATGTTTTAAAATACAGTATTTCTCCCAATGAGTAAGAGTTATTAAAAGTCAAAGTATCTTCTTTACTTTGAAAAAGCAACATATGTTATCTATATGTATATTATCTGTAACTGGTAGTTACTACATATGTGTATGAATGAATTTGATTTGTACAAGCATTTCTTAAAACAATTTTATAAACAAATGTTTAGTTTTAAATCCTCACCATTTAGTCTACTGCTAGGCTCTTCTGTCCTCAGTAGCTTTGGTGACAACTTCCCTCTCTGAAGAAAAAACCTGGACAGCATCCAAATTAGTCTGCACCAGCATTGCCTGCCAGAAGACTAAGCTGTTTTTTCTTAAGTAATTGTGGACATAATCAAAGTCTGTTTTATTTATGTTTTGGTTTGTTTTTGTCTGCTACCATTCTTGAGTGGTTTTTAAGCTTTTGGGGAGGAGAATAAATGAGTACGAATGTAGTTGCAAATCTGTCATTTATCTATTATTACCATCATATTACTTGATACTTAGGGATTTGTATTCAGTTTGAAGTGAGGTTCTTTCTTGAAAGAACAGAACTCATTTAAAAAGTGGAAGAATGCCTGTTCAAATATATCCTAAGAAAGACTGTCTGCTTGCTGAGTATGAATGCAGTATGTTTTAATTTTACATGTCATTTTTGTATGTGTGCTGAGGTGAAAGAGACGGCTTTAGAATCAGTCACATAGCTAAACGTAAGTAGTCTGTAGATAGCTGGAAGGGAAAAGTATTTAAGATGGAGATAACATGGAAATGTTGACTTGTAGATTGGATGAATTTGAATAGACTGGTGGGACTAGTAAATTACAGTGAAGCACTAGGATTCTAGGAATGTGTTAGATAAGACTAGAAAAGTAGTACTACTGTAACTGTTTTACTGAGCAATCTTAACTCTGGGGTATACAGATGAAAAAGTTTTCATTTATGTATTTATTTACTTATTGTGCTGCTGGGGATCACATTCAGGACCTCACACATGTTAGGCAAACACTCAGCCACTCCCCAGCTCTATTTTTTTTTTTAATGACTTTTTTTAACCTTTGAGACAGGCCCTTACTTCTGTAGCTCAGGCTGGCCTTGAACTTGCAGTGATCCTCCCAGCACAGCCTCCTGAGTGGTAGGATTACAAGCATCCGTCACCGTACCTGACTTTTTTTTAACTGAGTCTACTAAGAAGACTCATTAACGCTGCATAAAACACTCCCAGCCTGTCAACTTTCTTCCAAAGTACACTCCCTCATGGTCTGATGTTATAACACGTATGCTGCTTTGATGGTCACAGGAATTAGGATAGGCCCCTGTCAATTACAAAGCAAAGCAAGCAACAACAACTGCAAGAAAAAAAATCACATTCTTAAAGAAAGTTGAAATTAGTTCCCAGCTCCTTAGCTTGAAGAGGCGTAATCTGACTCTGAGACTGGTTCAGACCCTTTCTCTGCCGTGCCCTTGTGGAGTTGGGGAAAGACAGCCAGCCTGCTGAGGCAAAGCTTTTCTTTTTGCCTGAATCTTTTAAAGAGGAGAAATAGCCTTGGCCTCACTCTGGTTCACCTGGCTGATGGTGATCTCTGATGTGTGTGGATATTATAGGGGCAGTGTTGTAGTTCCTGAGTCCTTTTGCCACTGAAGACCTTCTTCATAAAGCGGGTCCTCTCTGGTTAGCAGAGCCAGTATTTTCACACTTGAACCCTCTTCTCTGGATTGGTGGGCCCGTTGCTTGATCTGATGCTGTCTCACCCCTGGACTATCCCAAGTAACCTGTGCTCGTATTGCCCTTGCTCCTTTATTTGCAGTTGTAGGCAGGAGAACAGGAGATGGAGGGAAATTGGACAAATCAGCAGTTAAATGTTCCTCTTATGAGGTGACCCGAGGCCTGGATGTGTTCCAGATAGAGGCAGTTAACAATAGAAATGCAGGAGACCTGAAATGGTTAAGAGCATATGAGGACAAATTAAAGGAAGGAGTCAGATGACTAAGAAAAATGATGCCATTGTCAGAAACAATAGAAAAACAATAGAATTAGCTGGGGGTACTTAATTATAGAACTATAATTATGATTTTGTGGTTTTTTTGTTTGTTTTTGTTTTTTTAATCTTTCTTCCGGTACCAGGAATCGAACTCACGACCTTGTGCTTGCCAGGCAGGCGCTTTGCTGCTGAGCTAAATCCCCAGCCCCTATAATTATGATTTTGGATTGGCTATTTTGAGTCTGAGATTATGGAGAAACTTCCAGTGGAAATGCCTATACTCGGAGAGAAACTTTAATTCAGAGACAGACAAAGAATAAAGAGATAATTAGATATCTAACTCGAGGATACAGGACTGAAAATAATTGTATAGGCATCAACTGTGAATTGTAGATTCAAGTTATGTAAATTGACAAATTCTAGGAGGAGTAAAGGCTAGGGCTGAACCCTCGTTTCAGGTGAGAGGATAATAAACTGGTATTTGCTTAGTGTTTTTCTGTTGACAAATCGTGGCACACAGATAGGAGCCATAAAGTCATTGATAAAGTTCCTTCTCAACTGCTGTATGCTGGGGAGTTACTGTGCCTTTATAGTCTTATTCTCTCCTTAAAAGATTCTTTATCTTCTGCCCATCCTTTTTTGACTGCTCTGGGCTCTATTTCTATTGGAATAGCATTAACTAGTCATGTTAAAACTGCTTCATTTTTGGAGTACTTTCTAAATTGATAAGATTTCATTAGCAACACACAAGTTATTAAAGAGCATTACTATAGGTAAGGTAGTGGTCAGTGTCCCTGTTTGAAACTCATTCTACTTTACCCTGGATTTTGGAATATATCAGACATATGAAGCTTTTTATACTTACAATGTGTATTTTCTAAGCCAAGTCTTCAACACTAGTGTGAACTTTGGCTTGCTTATAAAATATTTATAGCAAGATAATGATAGTTTCTATTTAATTGCTTTGAAATCAATGTTATGCAGATAAATAGAGTACTAAGGTCAATGACTATATTAATCGATGCCTCAGAGCACAGTCTAAATTGACAGACAGGGATACTTATCAGACAAACTGGTCTTCCTCTAATTTTCTATGTTCCTAGAATAATGTTCCTCAAATACTAATTTTATCACATCATTCTGGGCTTACAGATTTTAATTTGACAGCTGGGCATAGTGGCACATACCTGTAATCCCTCAGGAGGCTGAGGCAGGAGGATTGCTGTGAGTTCAAGGCCAGCCTAAACTGCATAGTGACACTTGTCTCAAAAAAAGACTTTAATTTGACTAATGTTTTCAGTATATAGTTTCTATTTGTTAGAAACTATATATAATCAAGTATACAAGTTTAAGGTTTATAATTTGTCCTTATTAACAAAATTCACTCCTGCTTAGTATCCTAATTTACCTTTTCTATCCTCTTACCACCATCTCCATCACAACCTGATATAAACATGGAACTTTCTGTTATGTAAAATTTTATTCTGTTGGTTTTCCATTAGTACATCTCATATGGAATTCTGTCCTTTCTGCTCAAACAATTGTCTGCCTACTTTTTAATCTAACTTAATATGGCTTTGACAGTTCATCTATCCTGCATGTGCTTTGTTGATACATGACAAAAGAGGTTGGCAAGTCAAACATCACTGTAACATTTTATATTTATCACGGGGTAATATTTAAAGTTGACTAATTTTTATAAAGTAGTTTGATTACTATCTATATAAATGATACCAACATGTATTTTAATCTTATTAATTTTTGATGGTGTTTTTATTGACCTGGGTGGTGCATATGGGCTCCATTTGATTTGCACTGAACATTGTTTTATTCCTGATGAGAATGTTTGAAAATCATTGGAGTACTTCCTGGATCCTGCCTGCATGAAAAACTAATTCCTATCTGGGGTCCTTTATGCCTTCACTTCCTTTTATTTCTGAGCTAGGCTTCTGAGTTCCAGGAAGCTATGCCTTGTTATTGTTTAGTTTTCTTTCTCAGTAAATTTTTATCATCATTGAATTACATTGTTTTGTTACCTCCCTTTGTGATTTCTCTTCTAGTGCTTTTCCTTACTGCCTTCTTTCTCTTAGTATTTTTCATATAGATCTTCCTGTTGTCTTTTCCCCTCACAGAGCTAAAGGAATCTACATATATTTTGGCACCAATACTTCAAGTTATACAAATATTATTCTTTATCTAATGTATTAAAGAGATGATTGGGGAGTGCCAGACTGAAAGAGTGAACTTGGCTAGCTGAAGAGAAGGAGAGAGACTTTGCAGTGGCCCTGCTAGTTGTAGCCAATTTGACTTGAGTATCTTCTTTTTTCTCAAAGAATGGCTTTTATTAATGTATTGTTACTGATGAAATTTGTGATCTTAGTTATTCTGTATAATGGAGTATATGCAAAGATTTATGGGGTCTTGGTTTTAAAACTTTTTAAAATTTTGATGTTTTAATTTCTTAGATGTAAAACAAAAATCAGGAGTGGATTTGAAGCAATGCAAAGTGAACTGGTACCAGTCAGCATGTCCGAGACCGAGCACATAACCTCCATTTCTTCGGAGAAACATATTGGAAAAACACCTGAGTTAAAGGAAGACTCATGTAACTCATTTTCTGGTGATGAAAGCAGCAAATTAGAGAATGAATCCAAACTGTTGTCATTAAACCTTGACAAAATCTCATGTCAACCTAATGAACACTGTCATATTGAAGCTTCTGAAAATTATGTTCCAGATCATGGTGGAGGCGAGGATTCTTGTGCTAACATAGACACATGCCCTGAAAATTCTGAACAAACAGCTAACTTTTCTAGTGGAGATTCCACAAAGCAAATGTCAAAAACAAGTGACACTGAACAGACAGTAACACAAATATTGGCAGAAATAAGGTCATCTACATTTACAGAAGCTGCTAATCAAAAGACTTACTCAGAAAGTCCCTATGATACAGACTGCACCAAGAAACTTATTTCAAAAATAAAGACTGTTTCAACATCAGAAGACTTGTTGGAAAAAATAGAATCTGAACTCTTATCTACGGAGTTTGCAGAACACCAAATACCAAACGGAATGAATAAAGGAGAACATGCATTAGTTCTGTTTGAAAAGTGTGTGCAAGATAAGTATTTGCAACAAGAACATACTATAAAAAGGTAAGTTTAGTTCTTTAGGTAATTGTGTCGTAGGGCTTAGAGATTGAATTTTTATAAGGGAAGTATCATCTTGTCTACTTTTAATTCCATAATAGAGCCATGCACATAGTTGATAAAAGTATGTTTACTAAATAACTGAACAAATGTCAACTTTTTTTAGTAATTTAGTATTCTAAATATAAATAAGTAAATATAATAAATAATGTAAATTTGCTAAAGACCTAGAACTTTTTATAATGGTGACCAAAATTTTTCTCTCTTAAAAAATGTTTACAATTCTGGGTTTTAAGCTGGGGGCTTTTGCATGCTGGTAAGTGCTTTCCCAACTGAGCTGTACTCTCGGCCCGTATTTTTTGTGTTTACAAGAATGTGGAACATTCTTGTAAAAGAACCTCTTGTTGGCAAACCTATGGCACATGTATTGTTTTTCTTCTAAGACAAAAGATGTTACTGTATGAGTTGCTTTTTCTAAACTAAAACCTTAGCATTCAGGTTTAACTGCAGTGTTGGGACTTTGCGATAAATAAGTGGGTTTTGGGTTACAGTTTGGGCACTTCTGTCTAAAAGGTTTGGATCGCTGATGTAAAAGTGCAGTAGTACCTTGGTTCACGAACGCTTTTGTTTGCAAACAATTTTGTTTGCAGACAAAGGCATTTGGCAGATTTTTTTTGTTTGTAAACTGCATAGAGTGACAAACACACAGTGGTCATCTTTTCCAAAATTGTGGGACAAATTAACTTCATGAACTGAGGGAGCACTATATGTCAAAAGTAAGTGAAATTCAGAAGAAAATTAGAAGGCATAAAATGTTTCCTTAAAATTCTCACTATAAATTAATTGGTTGAAAAAATGAAAATTTAAAGACAGACAAATTAGTTGATTATTATCTAGTAAATAAGCACACAGACTTCTGCTTTTAGATTTCTCAGATTTATATACTTCTGCTTTAATGATGGTTTAATTGCATTCTGTATTTTTATTCTAGATTTGTTTAGCTAAGTGATGTATTGGTTTAGGTACTCTTACAACCTTTAAGAAAGGAAAATAAAATATTAGCCTTCATTAGATATGTACTGATACATACTGATTCTTTTCAAAAATATGATAGTTAAAAAGCTTCTCTTTAAGTTAGGGGGAGTTGTGTATATAGAGAAAAGGAGGAGGTCCACGTGCCAGAGGAGGATGGCAGAGGAAAATATACCACAATCCAAATATTGCTTGATATGGATTTGACTTTTCTTTTTTTTTTTTTTTGGTATTTTTGAGACAAGGTCTCGCTATGCAGTTCAGGCTGGCCTTGAACTCACTTTGTAGCCCAGGTTGGCCTCGAACTCACAACGATCCTCCTGCCTCAGCCTCCCGAGTGCTGGGATTACAGGCGTGCACCACCACGCCTGGTTGGATTTGGCTTTTCATGATCTACTTGCTTCTACTCTACTCTGCCAGAATATCCTGTTCAATGGATCAGTCTTCCCCCAGCCAGCTGGTTTACCCAATGAACTTTAATCTCTTAATGTTCAGGGTTAGTCCCCCACCCCTTTTATATGTAAGCTTATTTTTAATTGTGATAAAATGGACATAAAATTTACTATTTTATCATTTTAAAATGTACAGTTCAGTAGTGCTAACATGTATTCATATTATACAAACAACCTAAAGAATTTTTCACCTTGTAAATATGAAACTCTCTGCCCATTAAACTGTAACTCCTTATTCCCGCCTGGACCCAGTTCCTGGCAGCTACCATTTTGCTTTTTGTTTCTGTGAATGTGATTACTCCTGATACTTCATAGTGCTTGTCTTTTTGTCACTGTCTTATTTCACTTCACATAACCTCCTCAGCTTATCCATCTTACAACATGTATCAGAATTGCCAACCTTTTTTTTTTTTTTTAAGCACTGGCAGTTAAATCCAGGGCCTTTGCACTAAGGGCAGCCTTCTGTTTTTTATTTTAAGACAAGATCTTGCTAAGTTCCCAAATTGCCAGATGGGGCTAGAACTAGTAAGCCTCCTACCCCAGCCTCCCAGAGTACTGGGGTTAAAGGCAGGTAGCACCACACCTGGCTAGAATTTCCATACTTTTTAAAGTTGAATATTACTTAACATTCTGTGTATATACCACACTTTGTTCATTTATTCATGGACATTTGAGTTCCTTCTACATATTGGCTGCTCTGGAAAATGCTGCTCATGAAAACAATTGTGCAAAAAAAAAACCAAAAAACTTCAAGATTCCAATGCCCTTTGTAATACCACCCTAAAACTAATTCCTATTTGTGTTCTTACTGGAATAGTGCTATTATGTGAATACGCTATAGACTGTACTTTTTTGCACTGTCAGTGTTTCTACCACTTGTACTTTTTTAAGGTAACTTTCTCATTTCCCTGTTCTGTGTACCTGTTATTTTAGATCATCCCCTTGAGATTTCCTGTCATGCATCTTCCCATTTTGCTTCAATGTGGACTCTTACACTTTCATACATCTCTTGTAAATTTTTCCATGATGCACGTTTAATAATCACAGAAAAGATTACATGCTATTAATTATGTGCCTGACACATTACAATATTAACTCATGGAATCTTCACAGCAACTGTATGTGGTGTGTAGCACTGTTATTAGTACCATTATTACCTCCGTGTAGTAGTAGAATATCTTCATTTTAGAATTGAGGAACCTGAAACAGAGTTATGTTTCTTGTTTTCAGGGTCACATGCAAGTCAGTACAAGACTAAAATCTGAGCCTTTTTGTTTTGCCTCAGAGGTTTTATAAATGCAGCTATTGGAAATTAACTAGTTATAAATTGTTAAATTTATCTAAGAACTTTAGGTGCATAAAAAATTGATTTTTCTTTTTCATTCCATCCTGTCAGGATAGAGGCAGCATAGTGGTAGAGTTCTAAACAGAATCCTGGAGCCAGGATATTCCCCTCACACTTTGCAAGCTCTACTACATTGGCCAGACTACCTTTTTTCATCTCTGAGGGGCACAGTACTTATCTAATAGGACTTTTATGTGACATTGAGGCATTACAAATGTCATGTATTATGGTAAAGCCTGGTTGATCTTTTGTTAAATACATAATGTTTTTAATTGCAAGTGAGGTGCTTTGTTGATTCAAGTCAGCTCTGAAACAGTTCAGTTTTTAAAAATTTTTACCTTTATTTAACTTTTATGAAAAGGATTTGTTTCATTTCCTTTGAAATTTTCACAGATGCCTATATTTCCAAATGCTTATTTATACTGCCATTCCATTGTTTTTTCCCAACTTCACTAAGGACAAAATTACACATATTTTAGGTGTACACCCAATGCATGGTGACATGATTACCACAGTTAAGTTAGATAATACATGTATCACCTTACATACTTTCTGTGTCTGGTGTGACCCCCTCAAGATCTACTTTCAACAAATTTCAAGTATATAATGTTACTAATTGTTATCACTGTGGTGTACATTAGGTCTCCAGTATTTATTCAACTTAGAACTGAAAATTTGTAGCCTTTGACAGACATCTCCCCTGGCAATTACCATTCACTATTTTTCAATTCCTGTGTTTTCTAACATATCAATGTTGTCCAGTGTCCCAACCAAAATTTTTAATTAAGAACAGGTATATAAATGATGTGTGCTTGGCATGTAAGAATCATGTTGGTCTGTGGTTGTGGCTCAGTAGTAAAATGCTTGCCTAACATATGTGAAACTTTCCGCTGGGTTTGATCCTTAACATTGCAGTATACAAAACAAAAGAACATCAATTAAAAAAAAAAAAAGAAAAAAAAAACCAGTTTGAATGTTCTTGTCTTTCTCCTTCTTTCCCGCTTCTCTAATTCAGAATTATAGCCGGGATTCTGATCTCAAGTTTTCTGTAGCAAATTGATTATATACTTGGGGCTGGGGATTTAGCTCAGTGGCAAAGCGCCTGCCTGGCAAGCGCAAGGTCGTAAGTTTGATTCCTGGTACCAGAAGAAAAACAAAAAAACCCAAATTGATTATATGCTTAATCATATAAATAATTTAAGTTAAAACCACTGTGTCATGAATGGCTTGAATAAACATGAATGCTGCATTTGCCTCTTTACCAAACATTTGTATGCTTATTTCTTCACTACTATGCTAAAGTACTAGTTCCTCAGAGAGGCCTGTTATGACTCCTTTCTGTCATCTTGTCTTCATGTTTCTTAATAGGATTTAATCATTGCCCGATATACATGTTTACATATGTGTATTTTCATTTTCTTCTTAGAATGTAAGCTCCGAGAAGGGCAAGGAGGGGCTGGGGATTTAGCTCAGCGGCAAAAGCGCCTGCCTGGCAAGCGCAAGGTCGTGAGTTCGGTTCCTGGTACCAGAGAAAAACCAAAAAAAAAAAAAAAAAAAAAAAAATTAAAAAGAAGGGCAAGGATTGTTTGCTGACATATTATTTACATATAGAGTGATAAGGTACATAGTAGCCACCCAGTAGGCATGTGTTGAATGAATGAGTGATCCTCTAAGAAAAGTGGGAAAGGCCTGAGCTTTGGAATTACACCTGACTTCAGAACTCAGATCAAACACTCACTGTATGACCTGGAATAAGTTGTAGGCTTCACTCTTGTTTTAAGTTCATAAAACAGAAATGATGGTGAAAATTTCATAAACTTATTTTGAATATTAAATGAAACAACACTTATAAGGCTAAACTTAGCAAATAATAGGTGTGCAAAAAGTGTTAGGTAATAGTTATTACTATTAATCTAGAATAGCTGTTTCCTACATAGTTCTGAGTATTTTATGGGCAATTTTTAAAATTTTATTTCTGATTTTGTACAGGAACTTGAAATTTGTTTAAATTTTTCTTTTACTTTGACTACCCTTCTGTAACTAATAAAAGGCCATTAAAATATTTTAATCTAAAGCAGGACTTCTCCCCCTTGGCCCTATTGCCATTTTGGGCCAGATAATTTTAGCCCTGGGGCCTACCTTGTGAATTATAAGAAGTCCAGTAGCATTTCTTATCTCTACCCACTACATAGCAGTAGCAATCCTGTTTATCTTGATCTGAAATTTCTAGGAAAAAATTAATATCTGATTGGCCAGAGAATGTTTTGCAAAATATCTGATGAATGGATCAACAAAGCGAGTGCTTGGGATGATGCCTAAACTGAGCTGCTTTTCTTCAGTTGGCAGGATTAGAGAGGTACCCTAGCATTGAAAGTACAGGCACATTACTACGAGGATACTTTCTGAGAAATGTATTACGCAATTTTGTCCTTGTGTGAACATACTTTATTATAAAAAGATAATTTAGGGAGGTTAACTTAGAATGATAAGTGTCTATACTCTTTAGATAGATTATATTCCACTTCTCATTATTTCTCCATTTTTAATTCTGTTTTACTCATACTACCCTTTTATGTTTAGGTTAATTAAAGAAAATAAGAACCATCAGGAGCTCATCTTAGACATTTGCTCAGAAAAAGACAACTTAAGAGAAGAACTTAAAAAAAGAACAGAAACAGAGAAGCAGCATATGAGCACAATTAAACAGGTAAAAAGATAAAAAATTTTAAAGACCATACTTTAACCTAGAGAATACATTCCTGAAAAATTTTATATACATTTAAGTTTTGTAAATTGAAATGTTTTAAATGCAGAGAATTGCTTGATATTTAAAGCATTCTCTTATGAAGTGGGACCAAAGCCTGACTTCCTTATATGTAAATTTCTACTTTTATGGTTTGTGTGACTATTCTGCTAAATATAATAGAACTTACTATGTTCAAAATAATAGTAAAGATGATTTGATTTGACAGTCAACTAGATTGTTTTTAACCGAACAAGGAAGAAGCAGTAACTAACTAAAAGTGTATATCCAGCATTAAATTGTTGTTACACTTACATTACAACGCAGTTTCATTCGCAGTGTTTTTATGAACTACACTATGACAACTGGCTCTTAGACTTTAGATTGTATCTAGCTGCCTTTCCTTTGTCTTTTAAATGAACTGTAATGGGTAGATCAACAAAGTGGCTTTGTCTTGATAACAAAGCTGAGCTGTTCTTTATCTTTGAGTTGCTTTGTCTTCTCTGGGCAGGATTAGAGGCCTTTCAGCTTTAAAAGTAACTTAAGTAAGTGGATATGCAGTAAGAAATGTATAATTAGGTGATTTTACCCTTGCTTGAACATCATAGGATATGCTTAACTAAGACGCCTACACCACTAAGTGATATATGATCTTATTGGACTGTATATGCAGTCCATTTACAGAAACATTATGTAGCTTGTTGCTGTGATTTCCTTTTGTTTCATCTTTCATAGAAAGTTTTACAATGAATGTAAAAGTAAATAATTGATAATAAAAAATTAAACTAAGTTTATGCCTCATATATATTTAATATACCTTTATAGAGTTGGAAGATAATGATAGTTGTAAATTTTTATGTATGATGTTTAATCCTGGCTTGTTTGTGCTCTAGGCCCATCCCAGGTAAATCGAACTTCAAAGGTTAACATGTGAAGAAGCCTTAACAATAATACCAACCCATATATTTTGGTAGTTAGGTTACTGTTCATGACCAGAATTCATACTGAGCAAATGAGATGAAACCAGAGCTCTTGCTTTCATAAGTTTATTAGGGCTTTTTGCCTTTTTAAAAAGAATATTGAACCTGTTTTAGTCACATTGCTCGCTGCTGAGATACCATACCCAACACTCAGAATTTAAAGGAAGAGAGATTTATTCGGCTTAGGTTTCTAGTTTTTAGCCCACGATCTGGTGGCTCCAAGGCGGGGCAGGATGGCAGAGGAGTAGCTGCTCTCACCGAGTTCAGGAAGCAGAGGCAGACAAGGGAAGAGCTTGGAGGGAGATACTACCTTCCTGGTCATTCCCACAGTGACCTGGCTCTTTCGACCAGACCCCACCTCCTAATAGCAAGCCAGCTTTGCCTCCTTTATATTTATTTACATTTTACAATTTTATTGGAACACTTTTGATACGTATAATGATCACATTCATCATAGGGAATTTGTACCTGTACATAATACATCCTGATTTTACCCGCAGTCCCCTCCCTGTCCTTAAACCTTTCTTCCTTTCCTTATTTACAAAAGCTTTATTTCCATTTTTTCCTTCTGTTCTTTTTTGTCCTTTTCCCTTCCTTCCCTTCCTTCCCCACCATCCTTGTTCTCCTTCCTATTGAAACATTTTCTTCCTATTTCCCAGTCATCTATTTTGGTCCTTGTTTGTCCTTTCAGTTTCTCACAGAAGGGAAACAATGCGATGTTTAAACATGTGTGTCTGGTTTATTTTGCTGTAAAAGTATGGATTTAAATTGAATCCATTTACCTGAAAATGTCTCAGGTTTATCCTTCATTATGGGAGAGTAGTACTCCATTGTGTAAAAAAAATCTTTATCCATTCATCTATTGATGGTCATCTGGGCTGTTTCCAAGATTTAGCTAATACAAATTGTGCTGCAGTAAACATAAGTGTGCATATATTGCTGTGGTATAATGCTTTTAACTCTTTGAGAAAGACACCAAGAAGGAAAATAGCTGGGTTCAAATGGAACCTCTAGTTTTAGTTTCTTGAGGAATCTCCATCTTGTATTTCCATATTGGTTGTACCAATTTACACTCCCACCAGCAGTGGAGAAGGGTTCCTCTTTCTCCACAGCCTCACTAGCCTTTGTTATTGGTTGAGTTCTGATGATAGCCATGCTTTCTGGAGAGATGGAATCTCCGTGTTGTTTTAATTTGCATTTCTCAAATGACCACTGATGTTGAATATTTTTTCACATATTTACTTGTTGTTTGTACTTCTTTGAGAAGTACAAATCTATTCATTTCAGATACTCATTTTTGGACTAGGTCTTTTAATTTGGGGGGATCTGATTTTTTTTTGAGTTGTTTATATATTCTAAGCATTAGTCTTTTGTCTGAGAAATACCTGGTAAAAAATTTTTCCATGGGTTATGTCTTTACTCTGTTGGTGATTTCTTTTGCTGTGCAAAAGTTGTTTAATAGAAGGAGATCCTAGTTGTTGATTCTTTGTGATACTTCTGTGCGATAAGGGACTTATTCATAAAGTCGTTGCCTATACCTATGTCTTTAAGAGTTTTGCCTGTTTTGTCTTCCAGCTGAGTAAGTGTTTCTGTTTTAATATTTAGATCTTTGATCCATTTTGATTTTAATTTAGTTTAGTGCATGGTGAAAGGTATGGGTCTAGGTTTAATCTTCAGCATGTGGAAAGCCAGTTTTCCCAGCCTCATTTATTAGAGGCTTTCTTCCAGTGAAGGTGTTTGGACCCTCTGTCAAAGATAAAGTGGCTGAGTATGTTTGGAGTTGTGTCTGCATCTTTTATTCTGTTCCGTTGATCCTCAGGGGTATTCCTCTGCTAATACCATGCTGTATTGTTGTTTTTTTAATCACTGTAGGTTTGTAATACAATTTTAAGTCAGGGATTTTGATGCCCCCTGCCTTGCCTTTGTTGCTTGGAATTACTTTTGCTATTCTAGGTCTCTTCTGGTTGCAAATGAATTTCTTAGGATTGTTTTCTCTACTTCTGTGAGGTAGGCTGTTGGTACTTTGATCAGGATTGAATTAAATCTGTACAACAGCTTTGGAAGTATGGTCATTTTGATTATATTGGTTTTGCCTGTCCAAGAAGAAGGGATATCTTTTCATTTCCTAGTATCCTCTTTGATGTCCTTTTTCAGAGTAGTGTGGTTTTTAATGTAAAGGTCTTTTACTTCCTTCGTTGAAATGACTCCTGAATATTTCATTTTTCTTGATGCTATTGTGAAAGGTGTGGTTTCCCTAATTTCTCTCTCTGTGGGCTTGTTACTTGTGTACAAGAATGCTATTGATTTTGGGGGGGGTTGACTTTGTATCTTGCCATGCTACTGAATTTGGTGATTATACCTAAAAGTCTTTCGGTGGAGTTTCTGTGGTGGTCTGTGTAAAATTATCATGCCATCTTCAAATAATGGTAATTTAGCTTCTTTTCCTATCTTTATTCCTTTTATTTCTTTCTCTTGTATAATTGTTCTGGCTAATGTTTCCAGAACTGTTTTGAACAGGAGTGGTGAAAGTCCTTGTCATTTTAGAGTGAAAGCTTTTCAGTTTTTGACCACTTAGTATGATGTTGGTAGTTGATTTGTTTTTTTTTTTTTTTTTTTTTTTTTTTTTT